GGGGGCTGGGAGCCCACCGAAGGTCCAGTGCTACCTCCGCATGCGCCCGCCAAAGCGTACAGCGCCAGTGCCCCCAGAGGGGTCCGCCCCAAGGTCGGAGGCTCCGTCCGGAGACTCCCACTCACCAGTGCATGTGCTTGCCTGATGCTGCACACCCAGTAAGCGTTCGTGGCCCCTAGGGCTCCCACCGAGGAGGGCACCGACCGTCCGGGCACCTCCGGCACCCAACCTGGTTTCGTGGCCCATTGAGCCCACCAAATGGCGGATGCCAAGTCCGCATGTGTCCCCACTGGAGTACCGACTGGGTGGCCCCCGAGGGGTCCATCGAAGGTGGCATGCTTACGTGCTCATCGTCCGCACACTCTCCTCAGCGCTCCTCTCCCCAGAGGCTAGCCCAGGAGCGGTCCTTGCAACCTCCGTCCTTCCTCCACGCCAGTACTCTTCGTCCTGGCCTTTTGATCAGCCCCACGAGGTCCCTGTGCTACCGTCCAATGCAACCCGCACCCCAGTACGGCGCAAATGGCGGCATAGGGGGCGGCCGCAGGTGCGGCGCGAGATCCGCGGCGTCCAGCACTACACGAAGAGCACGCCCTCCTTCCCTCCTCCTGCGTCTCACCCCCCTTCTTCCTTCTTCCCCCATCTCCTCCTCCTCCTCCTCCCCTCCTCCCCTCCTCTCCTCCCTCTTCCCTGCTCCTCTTCTCCCGCCTCCTCCGCTTCGCCTCCCTCCTCCTCTCCTCTCCCCCCCCCTCTTCCTCCTCTCCTCCTCCTCCTCCCCTCCTCTCTCCTCTCCTCCTCCTCCTCCTCTCCTCCTCCCCTCCTCCTTCCTCCTCCTCCTCTCCTCCTCCTCCCTCTCTCGTCCCTCCTCCCTCCTCTCCTCTCCCCCTCCACTGATGGTCCGGGTGTCCGTCAGACGCAGCCGCTTCCCCCAGGGGGGGCCCGGTCGGGCCCCCCCCAGATTCCGCCCCGAATAGCAGAACAATAACAACTTAGGGACGCGAGTCCCGGGGGCAGACGGGAGGGAGAGGAGCAAAGAGAAGCACCACAGCACATCACCATATCAGACTAGCAGCGGGAGGGAGGGGAAGGAGCAGGACCAGGGCGGCAGCCAGCGTGGCCGGCGCGTGGCGAGCGGGGGGGCCCGAGGGCCTGTGTTGGGTTCTCCCTCCTGCTGGTCGCGTTGCCCGCTGAAGGGGAACTGGGACACACAAGCAAATAAACGTATCCCCCATATTTTCCTGCATTTCCTGGGTTTTTGTCTTCCCCCCTCCACTTCCCCTATTTTCCAATCTTTTCCGGGGAATCGACGATGAATTGTGTCTGTGTGTGTCTTTTCCCCTCCTGAGCTTGGGCCACCGCCCTGCAGGGCGCCCCAGGGTGGAGGCAGCCGGCCGAGGGAGGTGCAGACAGAGTGCGCAGGCGCGCAGAGTTGAAGAGGGGCGTGGCGGCTGGCAGGCGGCGTGGCTGGGGATGCGGGCGGCGGCGGTGGCCGTGCGGAGACCTGCGGGGCGCCGCCTGCTGGCCAGGATGGCAGAGAAGCCTTGCACATCGGACCCCCCCCGAAGCGGCCACCTCCCCAGGACAGGTGCCCTCCCCTTCCGAGGCAGGAGCAGGGTATTCAGTCTTGCCCCCGGGGGGTTCCACTTGCCAACCGCCCACGGTTGCGTCGTGGTTTGCTTTTCCGACCCCCACCCCTCCGTGGATCTTCCTCGCCAGGACGGCCCGCGGCGGGAATCGACGATGAAGCCAGAAGGAGTGGAAGGTTGGAGGTTGGTGTGTCTTGTCTGAGGGTTTCTGGTGTTCTCGCCGTACCTCCTGAGCTGAAGTGGGTGAGAAAGCCCCGTGGGGGCCGCCGCCACTGATGTACACGCCGTGTGCGTCTGCTGTAGAGAAAACGGAGTCCGTGCCACCCTGTGATGCTTCCGTCATGCGGTGGCTTACGTGTTGGCGAGGATAGTGCCGAACAAGGGAATGGGTGGGTAGCAGTTGGTGGCCCTGCCGCTGTGAGGCAAGATGTGTGTGTGTGTGTGTGTGTGTGTGTGACGATGTTGTTGTCCCTGCCGTTGCAGAGAAGGCGCGGCCTGGCGCCGGCCTGTGGCGCCCTGAGATCCTCGCCTCGGGGCGTGCCGCGCGGCCCGAGGCGAGGGTGGGTGGGGGGGTACCGTCCTGTAGGGTTGCCGCCTCCTCTGTCGCTGCGGCGAGGCGGCGTGTCAAAGCGTCCGAGGTGGGGCTCGTCCTCCTGCTTGTTGCGGCGAGACGCCGCTGTCTTCGTCGTCGTGCTGGTCAGGGTAGTCCGCGAGACTGTCGCGCGGGCTGTCGGCGAGGCCGTCTCGGGGGGCGTCCGTGGGAGGTGTGGGGGTTGTCGTAGACCGCGGCCTTCTTCGCGCCCGCTTTGGCCGTCGCCGTCGCGGGGGTCGTCGCGGGGGGTCGCGTGGGAGTGGTCGTCGCAGGGGTCCTCAGATGCCGTCGTAGAGGGGCGTGGAGGGCCGTCCTGCGGCCGGTTGTGTTTTCGTCCGGCCAGAAGTCCGTGAGGGAAGCGCTGCCCGCGCAAGACGGAGGCCGTCGCGGGGTTCGTCGCCCCGTTGTGGCGAGGGGCCGTCGTGGGGGGCGTCGCGCAGAGGCCGTCGTAAGGGTTCATTGTCGTGGTGGGTCGCATGGGCATTGGAGGAGTGGGGGGCGCTGGCCGTCGTGTGGGTCGGGTGGGTGGTCCCCGTCGTTGGCAATCCCTACTCGGGCATGCGGCCCTTCCGAGCCCGCCGCCGGATGGGCGGGCACTATGGCCCGGAGCGGCCTCTATGGCCGCTTCCCCGGGTATGGCCCCTCCGCGGGTCAGGGCATGCGGCCACAGACAATCGGGTGGGGGCCGTCGTGGTGATCGAGGGCCGCTTCTTAGCGTCTGCCCCCCGCGGGCTCCCTCGCGGCATGCGGCCACTCTGCCGAGCACGCCACGGGGCAGGCGGCGCCAGTTGGCCAAGCCATCGGCCCCCATGACCGCTTCCCTTCCCCGGGGTCCCGGACGGGCTCCCTCGCAGGGTGGCCACTCGGGGCGTTGCTGGGGGCGCGTGGGGTCCGTCGTGGGAGCCAAGTCGAGGGGGCGTTCGCGTCGTCGGGTAGTCGACGGGGTCAGGGTTCCAGGAGGTGGCTTCGGCTGTCCCCACCAGGTATCCCCCCCCCGCGGGCGGTGCGGCCACTCCGGATGTCGAGCCCGCCGCTGCGCCAGCTTTGGGCTGTAGCGGCCCCTGTGGCCGCTTCCCCGGGTATGCCCCGCGCGGCTCCCTCTCAGGGCATGCGGCCACGCGGGGTGCCGAGCCCGACGGGGCAGGCGGTGCCAGCTCTAGCCTTGCCAACGGCCCCTGTGGCCGCTTCCCCGGGTATGCCTCGCGCGGCGGGCTCCCTCGCAGGGCGTGCGGCTGCTGGGGGGGCGTGGAGTCCGCGACCGTGGGGTGAGGAGTTGTGGGGATGTGGGTGGTAGACTGCTGGAAGGGAGGCGGAGCCGTCGTCGCCTCCGTTGGGGTGGGTCTCGGTGGGGAGGCTCCATTCCCGCCTTCGCCAGCTGCCAGGCGAGCTGGGGCGAACCACAGCCTCCGTGCCTTGAAAGTGCGTCTGCGCGCGACAACGACTGTACCCGTATAGTTCTTGATGCCCCGTTGTCAGTCAAGCGTGGCCAACTCCCTGGCCATGCTGCGTCGGCGCGGTATGCCTTGGCGCTCTGGCGAGGAGGCCCGTCCGGGCCCGTCGGCAAGTCGAGAAGGTAGGCAAGTTCTGTCGCGGGCGCCGCGGAGGAAATTGCGCGGCCGGGCGCCTCGCCCGGCAGTCGCCCGCTGCGGGAGGAAGGCCGGGCGGGAGGTCCACGCCCCCTTGTCGGGCAACGGCTCCTCCTCCTCCTCCTCCTCCTCCTCCTCCTCCTCCTCCTCCTCCTCTTCCCCCCTCCTTCCTCCTTCCTCCTGTCCTCCTCCTCCTCCTCCTCCGGAGGGTGCCTGGCGTGGGTGGGGCACGACCAGGAGGTAGCCAGAGGATCGGCAGCCACCCATCCCAAGGAGCGACCTGGGCTCCCTGTTGTTGGGGGAAGAGGCGTGGCGGGCAGGGAGGCATGGCCCATGGATGCGCTTTGGGCGCTTTCTTGGAATTCTGGGCGGTCGTTCGACCTCTCAGAGAACAGGGCTCAGTGCGAATGGTGTCTTTGTGCAAATGGCTTCCCACAGTTTGATCGGTTCATCCATCATCCAATGACGGCATCATTTCACCTGTCTCAGAATTCTTTAATCACTGAATGTCAGGTCTCAAGTCTCCCGCGGACATCCGTTCCGGAGGCTAACATTTTTTTGTTTTGTCTTTTTGTCTGTGTGTTGACTTTTCACTCACTTGAGGCTCAGGCCTCAAGCGACCTTACAACAATTGAGGACCGCGCGAGCCAGTCCGGCCGCCTCCTCCTCCTCCTCCTCCTCCTCCTTCCTCCCCCCCGGCTGCCCAGCCCCCCCAACCCTGGTCCCCTCTCCTTCACCTCCGCGGGGGGGGGGGACGCTCTGGGGCAGCTGGACCAAGGCGCGTGGCGCGGCGTCGCCGCTCCACCGACGGTGTGGAGGACCGAGCCGCGGGCGGGCGCTCGTGTGCGATTTTTTCCCTCCTCCTCCTCCTCGTCCTCGTCCTGCTCGTCCTCCTCCTCCTCCTCCTCCTCCTCCTCCTCCTCCTTCTGCGCCTGCCGCTGGGCGGGCCCGCCCCGCTCCCTGCCTCCTCCTCGCCCTCTCCGTCCTCCGCGTCCTCCTCTCTCCCCCTCCCCTCCTTCTCTCTCGTCCTAGTGGAGCCTTGAGCATGCGGGCATGTCCAACTGATCCTCGGTACCCTCGAGTCCTCTTCCTCCTCCTTGTCCGGGTGGGCCTCCTCCTAAGCGGCTCCGCGATATCCTTTTCCTCCTTCCTCCTCCTTCTCGGCGTCCTCCTCGTCCGCGGTCCTCTTCCTCCTCCTCCTCCCGCGGGCAAAAACGAGGGGTGGAAAAGTCCGTGCGCCTTCCGTTGTCGGTCTTGTAATTCGGATCCGCGCGGCCGTCCAACAGCGACTGGATCTTCTCCGTGTCGCCGATGCTGATCGCCTGCCCCCCCACCCCCAAGGGCGTGGGCGTGACCTCCTCCCGCCCTTTCTGATGCCTCTCCCCGAGGAGAAGGCGTCGGAGGAGGAGGAGGAACAAGGAAGACACAATATGCTGCTGCACATGATCATGATGATGGTGCTGATGATGACGATGATGATGGTGATGACGAGGATGTTGCTGATGATTGTGATTATGCTGATGATGTTGATCATGCTGGTGCTGATGGTGCTGGTGGTGATTGTGATGACACTCCTGATGGTGCTGATGCTGATGTTGGTGTTGCTGATGCTGGTGATGAGAGGTTGATGGGGATGACACGGATGATGGTGGCGATGCTGCTGATGATGGATATGCTGATGTTGATTATGATGCGGATGCTGATTATGATGATGACCGATGACGGTTGTGATGAGGATCGTGGTGCTGATGATGGTGCTGTTGCTGGTGATGCTGCTGCTGTTGATGATGGGGATGATGAGGGTGATGAGGGTGATGATGACGACGATGACGATGCTGATGATGATGGTCATTATAATGGTCCGGATGCTGCTGCTGGTGCTGATGCTGCTGATGTTGCTGCTGCTGATGCTGATGCTGATGCTGGTGGTGGTGGTGCTGCCACTATGAGGATGATGCTGCTGCTGCTGAGGGGGAGGAGGAGGAGAAAAAAGAACATTAGCCTGGCGAAGGACCCATTCAAATGTAGTTTAATTACCGCAATGATGAATGTCATCTTCGCCCGCGCCCCCTACGGGGCCACGAGCCGTGTGAGGGGCGTGCCGACCTGCGCTGCGGGGCCCACAACGTGAGCGAAGACGATAGGTCTGTGTGCGAGAGACTGAGAGCGAGTGAGCCGGATTGTGGATGAGTCTGCGCGCGCTTGAGTCTACGTGCATAAATGTCGACGCCCATGTCGGCACGCCTCTCACGAGGATCGCGCCCGCTTCCTTCCCGTTCTTCTTCTCCCTCTTTGCCCGTGCACGCCCACGTCCAAGGCTTCAGGCGCGGCGCCGCACGGAGTCCCCGCGACGCGCGCTGGTCGCCCCGAAGGGGTCCCGGCGACGCGCGCGGGTCGTCCGCTGCGCGGAGCAGAGAGAGCGAGCAGGCTGGCTCCCGCCCGGGATGCGCGGACCGAAAGCGGCCCCAATACGTCGAATACGATGAAAAACCTCCGAACATCGAAAGTCGCCGCCAAGCGAATTCCGCCACTGGCCCGCCATGCGAGTTCGGCCACGGAGACCTTAGGTGGAGCTCCCTGTGGGGACACGAAACGCTGTACTGGGTGGTGGATGACGCATGCGGGCGGTCCCACTGGGGCCTTCGGTGGAGCCCTCTATGGGGCCACGAAGCGCTTTGCTGGGTGGTGGATGACGCATGCGGGCGGTCCCACTGGAGCCTTCGGTGGAGCTCCCTATGGGGCCACGACGTGCTGTGCTGGGTGGTGGATGACGCATGCGGGCGGTCCCACTGGGGCCTTCGGTGGAGCTCCATATGAGGCCACGAAACGCTGTATTGGGTGGTGGATGACGCATGCGGGCGGTCCCACTGGGGCATTCGGTGGAGCTATGGGGTCACGAAACGCTGTGCTGGGTGGTGGATGAGTGGGGTCGCGAAGTGCTGTACTGGGTGGTGGATGACGCATGGGGGCGGTCCCACTGGGGCCTTCCGTGGAGCCCTTTTATAGAGCCACGAAGTGCTGTACTTGGTGGTGGATGACGCATGCGGGCGGTCCCACTGGGGCCGTCGGCGGAGCCCCCTATGGGGCCAGGAAGCGCTGTACTCGGCGGTGGATGACGCATGCGGGCGGTCCCACTGGAGCCTTCGGTGGAGCTCCCTCTGGGGCCACGAAATGCTGTGCTGGGTGGAGCCTTTGGTGGAGCTCCCTATGGGGCAACGAAATGAGGGAGGAGGGGGAGGAGGAGGAATGAAGGAAGGAGAACGCGGGGCGCTGTCTCTTCAAAACGAAGACCCAACAACACAGGTTGGTTGGGAAAGGGAATCATATTGCTGGCGCCTAGAGGCGGTTGCAGCAGAGTGCGGCTGCTGGTGCCACCCCCGAATCTGCATTGGCCAACGTTGGGGGGGGGTATCCGCGACCACATCGCCCGGGAATCTAGCACTGTGGCCTGCCGTTCCAATTCGAGGAGCTCTACGCGGACGGGTCGGCGCTCGACCCGGGCAGTGCTAGTCACGTTGAGGCAAAGCAAAGCCTGCCGTCGGTCGTCCTGCACGCGAACGCGAGCGAAGTCGTGGATGGCATCAACGAGCGCGACCACCATGCCACGTGCGCTGGCAGTGGCTCTTGGTGCCAGCTGTGGCGTGTCGTATGGCAGGCCATTCATGGCCTCGGCGGGCTCGGGCATGACCATTTCGAAAACGTCAAGATCCGTGGGCACAGTCTGGCGAGGGACATCGCCCCGGGTATCACCGCGCGTCACATGCGCGGCAACATGGACGCCGATGCGTGAGCCAAGAGATTCACGCGGCCGTTGGCCGTCGGCCCTCACGACCGAGCCCGACTGAAGCGGACCACCCTCTTCGTGGGCGGCATGGTCGCGCGGGTGGCCAGTGCAGGGGCCCAGGCGGCGACGCTGCGCGAGGACACCGCGACGGGAGGCAGAGTGCTTGCCCTCCCGCTGGGCCCCACTGCCCACGAGTTCGAGGTCAGCGGCGAAGGCACCACCTGGCTGTGCACGCGGCACGGTCGGCAGGCCTTGAAGGCCAACTCCCACGGGCAGCTGCACTCGAGCGCGTGCAGGGCACGGCCTGCGGCCCTGGGCGCCGAGCGGCCCGCCAGTGCGGCGCGGGCTCCGGGGAGCAGGCCGAGGGCCTTGGCGAGGCTGCGCAGCACGATGCTGTGACCCACCGCGGTGCGGTCAGCACGTGGGGTCTCCTCGTCCAGAGGGCTCCGGAGGTGTCTGCCAGGGCTCTGGCGGCGCCCCGGCGGGCAGCCCGGGGGGGCCTGGCGGCCCCCAAGACAGGCTCGGCGGCACGCCACAGGGCCGAGCTGGGTCAGCAGCGGCGGGCGAGGCCGGCGCGGCTACCGCCTGCGCACGAGGTGCTGCGTCTGCGCCCGCGGCGGCAGCGCCGCGACCTGCTGCTGGACGGCCGCCACTCCGAGACGCGCAAGGTGCTCCTCCAGGGGGAGGCGCAGGCGGCGCGGGCCGGACCGCCGAATCCGGAGCGGGCTGACCCGCCGAGTCGGCGTGAGGCGGAGGGCTCCCAGGGAAGCGGCGGCGCGGCCAGGGCGTGCGGCGAGGCAGCCCGAGCAGGTCCCTCGGCCGACCGGGCCCAGGGATTTGCGCGAGCAAGCGGTGATGAAAGCGGGCGCGCCCGAGCCCCGCGCAGCGCCGCAGAGGCGGCCGTGCCCGCCGAGGTGACGAGGGACCAGCCCGCCGCCGCCATCATCCCTCCCGCGGGGGCTCCTGCAGCATGAGCGCGCTCTGCTCGCTGGCCTTCTTCCCCGCGTCCTTCTTGCCCCTGGTGCCGCCCGCCTCGGTCAGCAGCTTGATGACGGCGTTCGCCTGGCCCGCCCCTCCCCGCCGTCGACCCCCACTGCTCTCGCTGGGGCCATCGCTCCTGCCCTCTCCCTCGCGCTCATCTTCCATCCCTCTTCCCTGTGAACAACTTCGGGGGCGGCCAAGAGGGGGGCGTCCAAGAGGGGGGGGTGCAAATCATGGCCGGCGGCATGTGCGCGGCCCAAAGGGGGGGCCACGGACGCAATGAAACAAAAAGAGGAGCCATGAAACCTGGGGGCGTATCAAGGCCCACGCCATGAGATCCATCCCTCCCTAGTCATCACCCCCCTCTTTGCCGCCTCCGACAACTTCCGCCTATCGCGCCGCCAGGTGTGTCCGTAGGCTGGGGCGGCCGTTTCGCCTAAGGCATCCATGCAGTGTACTGGCCCGAAGCTGCACATGTCCAGCAGTTGCGCGGACGGAGGCCGATACCTTGTCAACAGTGGGCTCCAGCCCAAGACGTCCCACCAACACAAGGGCCACATTTGTAGCATGGAGCAACAGTTACACGGATGAGCAACAGCTCCGTGCAGATCGACCAGCTGGCGAGACGGAAATGCGAGAAGGTGGGGCCGAAGGCCGATCCATCGGTGAGAAGCTTATTCACGCGACAGACCGCTTGACGGCTTCTTGCACAAAAGAACGCGGCAAGCACCTTCGCCCAACCAAGGAATGGTCAAGCCCCGCGGATCGGGCAACAGCCCCCGCGGCAAACTTGTAAAGAGCTTGGCGCAGATCAAAAACACATTCCGCCGCCCTGCGAACATCAGACGCGATGTGCTCGCGCCTGTTGCCGGAATCTCCAGTGGAACAGGGTTCTTGGTGCTCCTTGGCAGATCTGGCATTCGCTACCCTCCGCAAGGTGGTGCCCCTGCAGCCTCTGCCGCGTCCGGGTTCCCATGCAGTAAGTATTCCTAACGCAACTTCGGAGGTGGACATGCCAGAGCTCGGCTTTTTCCTCGTTCGTGGCTGTCCACGCCTGGTCCCGCTGAGGAGGTCTGCGCAAAACCTTGTTCTGCTTAGGTCGGAGTCTCAGCGCTTTGACGTTGGCACTGCATTCTGTGTTTACATCCGCATAGCCTCGAACCTTGCGAGGTGCCAACGCCAACAGATCGACGTGCTCGCCGTCAGCTTCGCGAGACATGCGCGCCGAGACAAGTGCCCGGCCTACCTCGGCCAAGCTGAGCAGCTTCACGCGGGCAGGGGTGGTGGAGGCAGTGCAGGAGCCTGTTCCAAAAAACAGCCTGCGTGACTCCCAATGCCGGGCCCCCCTTCCCTTCCAGATCGCTTGCCCGTCAGTGTACAGCGCTGGAATTCCAAAGATCATGCGGGCCAATCTGTTGGCCGAGTGCGGGCGACCTCTCCACTTGAATGAGGTGGCGGTCTCAGCTTCCTGCTTGCGTGAGCTCCTGCTCGCCGCGCGCGTGGATCTGCCCTGGCGCGACCCCCGCGACAGCGGTGCCCCACGAGGCTCCCGCCGGAGGCCCTGACCGGCAGATGTTCCCAACGCTAGCCCCGGCAGCTGTAAGTTTCCGCAGCCCACGGCTCGAGCGCCGACCAAAGAAGCTCGCGCGGACCTGCGAACGATTCTGCTCATGCCGATGCTTCTTCTAGGTGGCGGCATACGAGCTCTCCCCCCACCAACCATCGGTTCTCCCGAATCGATGTGAAGCGAGGGTAGGGTTCGGACTTAGCCACGTGCTCGACGAATTCCGATCACTACCCCCGCCTCCCATCAAGCTGCCTGAATCGTTGATCAGCGAAGGTAGGATTCGGACTCTGGCGCCGATGTTCGAAACGGGTCACTCTTACGTATCGCCGACGGTTGGAAGCGGGCGGGGGAGTCTGAACAGGTTGGGACCCCAGACAGTCGGCCATGAGGGGGGGATGATGCCACATCCGCTCAAAATCGATCCCCAAACCCCTCCCAAGGTTCATCTGGTGAAACCCGTTTGTCACAATCCCGGGGCGCGGAAGCGGCCCCCGGAGGCCGCAAAAGGCCTACGACCTTCCCGAACCCAGGACCTCGAACCTGCCCGCCCTCCCTGCTGACCAGGCCAGTGCTGGGCCACCTCGGACCGCCACACGGCCCCCACCTCACGCATCGCCCACGGAGACCCAGGCCCCCCATTTGGCCTCCATCTTCCGCACCCTCCGCGCGGCAGGCGCCGCGCAGCAGCGGCCAGAGGCTTCGTCCGCAGCGGCCCCAGAGGGTGAAGGCCGAGGGCCCTCCATGCGAGCAGACCAGGCGGGGTGCACGGAGGCTACTGTCGAGGAACAAGCGAAGACATGAACGTGAAGTTGCGGAGGCACGCGCGGACTTCTCGGATCGGCGCTTGGGCCCGTCCTGGCGGCGCCTCTGGCGCTGCCCGTGGCGCGCTCCGCGCCACGGAGGGGGGGCCCAACGCCGATCCAAGATATCTGGGCGGAGCTTCGAACATCTATGTTTATACAATTTTTGTTGGGGGCTCCCCGAAAGTAGCATCAAGGAGACGGGCACTGGAGGAATTCAGCCTCGTTTTTTTCCAATGTTTTCGGGTCCCCAGGGCCTCCCACGAGCCCTGGGACAGGCAGGAAACGACCAAGGATGAAGAACTGGCTTTTGGGAGGGCCCAGGGGTCGTCGAGAACCCGTTTCCCCGAGGATCCTTCTCCGCCATGGCGGAATGAACTTGCCAGGGTGTGGGCGTGCAGGCATGCTTTTCTGCGCTTGCCGGAGCGTGCCTTCGCCAACTCCTCCTGGGTGGACGCGGCCTCCTTGGCGGCGCGCGCGCAATCCATCGCCGACTCGCTGCCGCGGTATCCCAGCCTGGGCGCGAACGCCGCGCTGCCGCCCTCCCCCCCCAGCAAGCGCTGACGCCCCCCGCTGCTCCTCCCCTCTCCCCTTTTTTGACCACCTGCTCACTCAAACACCCTACAGCCTGCGAGCCTTATGTCGTGCGTGTCCCCCTACAGGGGAATTTTCGACGAAAAACAAAAAATACCCCAACCCAAAAATAGCCCAAACAGGTCAAACAAATATTCCAAAAATAGTCCCCAGACTATTTTTGGATTATTTTTGGACTATTTTTGGGGTATCTTTTATTTTTCGTCGAAAATCCCCCTGTACGGGGACACGCCCGACTTAATGCGAGCCGCAACCCCTGACACAGACCAACGGGAAAACTAGCCTGTGATGGCCGCGCCTGGCCGCCTGCGCCGGCGGGCGCGTGCAAGGCGACGACGCTGCACTGCAGAGGAGGAGGAGGAGGAGGAGGAGGAGGAGGAGGAGGAGGAGGAGGAGGAGGAGGAGGAGGAGGAGGAGGAAGAGGAGGAGGAGAAACAAAAAGAAAGGGGGGGCCAACCTAAAATCGTGGACAGGCCGGTGCGCCCAAAATTAACCAACCGTCGCTTGTGGGCGGCGGCCAGGGTGTGGCTGGCACGCGTGGGGTAAGAATATGCCACGGTCCAGAGGAGGAGGAGCAAAAGGAGGAGGAGGAGGAGGAGGAGAAGGAGGAGGAAAAGGAGGAGGAGGAGAAGGAGGAGGAGGAAAAGGAGGAGGAGGAGGAGAAGGAAGAGGAGGAGGAGGAGGAGGAGGAAAAGGAGGAGGAGGACGAGGAGGAGGAGGAGGAGGAGAGGAGGAGGAGGGAGGAGGAGGAGGAGGAGGAGGAGGATCGGCCCGCCGCGAGGGAACGCGGTCGTGGCGGCACGACGCGCCGCGACCCGAGGACCGACCAACTCATATGGCCGGGGGGCCCGCCCGGCTCTTCGGGCCTGGAGGGGCCTGGTGGGATCTCCGGAGGGCCAGGATTTGGCCGCAGCGTTCAGGGGCCGGCGGCTTGCCAACCTGCGCAAAACTAACTTCCCACTGTCTGTGCCCACTCCACCAGGACACTGGGTAGGTAACTGGTGTAGCTTTCCACCACCTGTACTGGTGGTGCTACGTAGCCGCGCACACTTGGAACACCACAAGTGAACATTCATCACGAGGGGCGAATGAGACGGGTGCACATGCTTACCTCCAACCCCTGAGGACGGGAACGCGGCAGGCGAAATGCGAAGCTCACAGTTGTATTCAGAAACGACAATCTTGCCACGGCAAGGGTTCTCTCGCACCCAGCTCTCGACTGAGACTCTCGTGGGTCCTAGGTGACAGTGAAAGCAGAACCAGCGCTTTTTGTCCCTAGGATGCTGCATCATGCAGTGGCCCGGCTCGAGACCGAACCCCCTGCCGGAGTGCAGCTCTCTTCGCGGGCCTCCTCCCGGGAACGGGGCGCTGGTGCTCGACCCTGGGCTGCGAGCTGGCTTCAGTGGCTACTGCTGCTAGTCGCTTAGGGACTCGCCGGAGGAGGGTTTGATAAACTTGTCGCGTATTTGGCTCAGGCTGGATATCATTCGGGGCCTCGGCTAGGCCTCGCTGTGCTAGGGTATTAGCTAGCTCGTTGCCTAGTGTAGCGTGCCAGGGCTGCTGGGGCTCTAGGAGGCTCACGGCATCAAGATGAGAGTTGCGTTTCTTGATGGAGACGTGGGTAATCTTGTCGGGCCTCTGGAGGATCGCCTGCTTGATGCGCTGCCACCACTGCTTGTGAGGGCCCCTGGGGTAGAGCCAGAACCTTGCACGCCACCCTTGAACACGAGCGAGTCCGTCCAGATCTCCAGGGGGCCGCCCGTGAGCAGGAGGCAATAGAACAAGGCCGCGAACTCTGAACACGGGACTGTCTGGTCACCGTCGACGGTACCGAAGCCTAGGAACATAGGTTCGTCTGGGAGGTCCTCGAAATCGAGCGCAACGCCCCACCCAGCCCGAACGATTCTGACGCCAGCAAAATGTACGTACCCGTCGAGGTAGGCCCTGTGGGCCACGATGTGGGGTGCCTGGGCGGAGGCGAAGGTGTCGATGGTAGGGACTGGGCCTGGCATGTCGACGCTGTAGATGGTCTGGGGCTCGTTTCAGTCGGGGGCCCGAGGGACCTCGTTGAACCTTGCAAAGCGAATATCACGGCATCAGAACATATGCAGGAGGAGGAGGAGGAGGAGGATGAGAGAGAGAGGATGACGAAGAAGATGAAGATGATGATGATGATGATGATGATGATGATGATGATGCTGATGATGATGATGATGCTGGTGATGATGCTGATGATGATGATGGTAATGAGGAGGAGGAGGAATATGAGGAGGAGGAAGAGGAGTAGGAGGAGGAAGATGAGGAGGAGGGAGGAGGAGAAGGAGGAGGAGGAGGACGCGGAGGGGGAGGGGGAGGGGAAGGAGGAGGAGGAGGAGGAGGACGAGGAGGAGGAGGAGCACGCGGACATAGCCGTAGATGTAAATCATTGTGGTCGCTGATCGGTTGTCCCTGGCGTTCAAAAGGTCGACCGTCGACAATGCGGTGCGTCTCGAAATGCGGGATGTTGTGCGCGTTCGTGGAGATGAAGCACCGATCAATCGCGGCCTCGGTCATGTTGGAGGTGCATCTGCAAGTGGCAGCTTAAGTAGTGACCCCGATCATCTGCGAGAAGAGCCGCTTCCAAAAGACAGGCTGGTACTGGTATCTGGTGGCTGTCGAGGCGTCGCTGGGAAGCCGCGAGCTCTTGGGGGGAGTCTCGAAGATGTTGAAGTCGCCGAACAAGACAATGTTGCGCGTGTCGGGGTTGTCAGCGTTGCGCTGCTGGGCGGCGTTCCATGCAAACGGAAATCGAAAACGGTCCTGCGCAGAGAGCTCGTGGTTGCGCACGTTGAAGATAATGGTCTCGCGTCGGCGTTCTGCGCCAAGAACGCGGAGCTCAGCGACGCGCCCAGGAATGGTGGAGGTAGATCCGCGCAGTGGGCGTTGGTCAGCAGGAAGTGCGAGCTCAGCTTTGTCATGAGGCACAAGGAAGGCAACTCCGCTGGCCGTCTCGGAGATCCCGTCGCCGTCCTGGTAGGCGGAGTGGAACGCCTTGTGCGCGTGCGTGGAGCTGTCGACCAGGTGCTGCATGTCCGTATAATTGCCGTGCGTCGCATGAAGCGCAATGACAGCTCGCTGGCGCATGGATGGCAGCAGAGTGTTGCGCTTGAGCGAGCGACGAGTAGTCGATCGTCCCATGAGCGCCTGATTGTTCCAAGGCGCAACGTTGAGGCCGTCCGGCGGTGGCTTCAAGAACCAGGGCAACCATCGGGTGCTAGAGCCACTGTGCTGCGGCCAGCGGGTCGGCGAAGGAGGCAGCCAGCCCGGCAACCAGTCGATCATGTTCTGCAACTGGGATGCCAACAGGTGCAGCTGCGCCAGACCACCGAACTTTTGTGGGAGCATCAGGAGTGGCGCCAGCAGTACCTTGAACGACGGCAGCCCCGTTGACGGAGAGGTGACCACCGCTGCGGTGCGTGCGAAGGTCTATGTCGGGGTGCTCTGCCAGGATGAGCTTGCTGAGCCTTTTGATCTGTACTTCTTGCCGAACCATGCGAGGGGACTTTCTGCAGAAACGTTGAGTGTGATCGTGCAGTTGCAGCTGTCAACTTGAGATCGCCGCCAATCCCGTCCTTGTCTGAGTGCTCGATGAAGTGCTTGAGCTCTCGGAAGTGCCTTGAGATCACCACCTGTGAGGGTGAATGAAATGCGACGAGCAGGACCCTCATTGTTGATGCGGAAGGCGTTGATGTCCGCGTCTGCAGCCGCGAACCAGGACGTGAGGGCAGACTTGAAAGTGGTAGTGGTGAACTCGGATGCAGCGCCGCACCAGAACGTGGCAACACGAGGGGCTCTGTCCCAGTTGCCGATGGAGTCGATGTCCAGCGATGGATGAAGTGCTTCAGCATTTTGGATGGCTTGCTTGATGCTTTCCACTGGCGCTTGGCAGTCAGCATTGAGAAGTTCAACACGGTCAGCTCGTCCTGTAAGTTGAACAACGTCCCAGTCTGCAGCCTCCTGGCGAGCGCAGAGCGTCCCTGTGGTCTTCGTGATGGTGGCCCGGAATTCGGAATTCCGCCTGCGCGGCGGCGACGACCCGCTTGGAGGTGGCCTCAAAGGCAGCAGCGGCCTTGTCCACCTGATCTTGTAGGAGGTCCTGTAGTTCTTTCCGTTGGTGGGCAGGAGTGGCAGTGGCGGCAAGCTTGAGTGCACCAGCGTGCCAAGGGTCTTCATGATCAGCGTTTTTGCCACCTCCTTTGTCTCCTTGAGCGGCGGGCTGTCTCTTTGCGTCGTCTTGTGAACCAGCAGTGGCGATACCAGGCTGTCCCATCGCGTCCGGTTCTTCACAGGGAAGCAGTGGCCCGCGCCAGCCACAGAAGACCGCGCGTGAAGTGTAGGCTGCTCGCAGGCGAATGCGACAGCAACGGATATGAAGCTCACCGCTGCGGGCACAGTGGCGGCGAGGAACGGCGGTCCTAGCTGGCCCCGGTCCAATGGCCTCCGTGCTCTCGCACGGGGCGGAAACATCTTGAGCCCAAATGGCTACGGATGATGATGATGATGATGATGAGGAGGAGGAGGAGGAGGAGGAGGAGGAGGAAGAGGAGGAGGGGGAAAGACCGGTGTACACCCAAGACGCATCTAGGTGGTGGTGCGAGGCGAACACCGACCCAGCACGAGAAGCGCCCACGGGCACCCACCAACCGCACACCGGCCGAAAACCCAGCACACTCAACCACTTACACAGGAGAAGCGAATAAGACCCCCCAAGCGCAAGCACTGTTGTGGGAATCGAGCTACGAAGAGCGGAAAGAGGAGGAGCCATGACAAGAAGCGGAACATGCTCCCCACCACAGCCTCTGCTGTTGCCGCTGCCGCCGCCGCTCCTCCTGCGCAGACCTCTGGCGTCTGGAGTCTGCCATCCTGGGGCCGTGTCCGGGCCCCGGGATCGTCAGACAACGACTGCGGCGAGGTCATCGGATAAGAAGCCACTGGGCAAGGAATCCAGGGTCTGAAACGTCAGAGAAAGCCCAATGGAAGCTTGGCCATGGATGCCACCGTCGCCCCAGGGTCGGCAGCCTCCTGGGCACACTCTTCAACGAACGCCCCTGCCGTATGGACGGGACGCGCCCCCCAGGCAAGGGGTCGAGAGGTCCAAGGGCTGGCGTTAGGCTGGGCATGTCCCCCTACAGGCGGATGTTGCGCGAAAAATCCGCCGACCCTGTCGGCGTGTGCCAGGGGCTTGGCTGTTCGAGTCGTCGTCTCCGTCGGTCGTCGCCTCCGTCGTCCCCTTTCCCTGCAGTTTCCTTCTCAAGCTCGTGAGCGAGAGAAAAATCTAGCAGTGTCGTAATCGAGTCGAAGGGAAGCCCCTTCCCTTTGATCCCTTCCCCAAGGGGGAAGGAGGGGGTCCCGGGGGGGTCCCGGGGGGGTTGGGGGGGGGGTGGGTGGGGGGGGTGGGGGGGCAGATTCGTTTTTCCTCGGGCGGCCTAGAAACCTCGAAAACACTCCAAATGAGGTCCGAATGCCCAAGATGGCCCCCGAGACGGCCCAAGAGGGCCCCGAGTCGCCCAAAGATCGGCCGAAAACGCCCAAGATAGCCCCAAGACCGTCCAAGAAGCCTCCAAGACGTCCCAGGCCCCCTCCAAGAGACCCCCAGTAAGCCCCAAGAGGCCCCCACGAGGCTTCCAAGCGGCCCCTAAGAGCTTCCCAAGAGGCCCACAAACTACCCCAAGAGGCCCCTAAGAGCGCTCGTCGTCGTCGTCGTCGTCGTCGTCGTCGTCGTCGTCGCCATTCAGGGTCGGCGGCACCGGCCGTAAGGCCTTCGCAATCAAAGATACTCAGGAAATGCCACAAATTAGTCAACACATACTAGAAAAATCGTCCCCATCCGATTTCTTATTTTTGAATATTCCTCCCGGTGGAGGGGGACACGTCCGACTCAAGGCCGGCGACTTGAAACAATCAGGTCGTCGGAGGTCTGGGTGCTCCTCCTGCTCCCTCCGTGCTTCTGCACCGCGTGCACCTCGCGCAGGTC